GCCCCCTCACTCTTATCCGCAATTGCGGGGTGCTATAGTATTTTCGAATCGGTCTTCTGGGTATTCGTGTTTTGCAGGCTCACCACCTTTACTTCGACCCTTCGTATCACGTACAGGTCCTGCGGAGATTGCCAGGAGGCACAGACGCACGGCGTCAAAATCTCGAACCATCAGACTTCCAGATGGCAACGCACGCTGTGCCAAATAATCGTCGTTCCTTGGGGCGGGCACGAACCGGTTACGCCTGGGGGGGTAGCGCGGTGGCACCGCGTATTTGGCACCATTCGAACGGTCACCAAACAGAAATTGCCAGGCGCGCGTTGGTTTTCGACTGCCCATGCCAAGGCGCGGGCCACGATGGAGGAAAGAAATGGGACGCGCACGGGTATAATCAACGGGGGACGTGCCACTTGCTATTCTGATCGTGGATCGCCTGCAATGTGTAAACGAATGGACGGGATTGCATCAAGAATGAATGTGTTCACTTGCCGTGTTTACGTCAGTTGTCACTGCCTAGGGGCAGCCCCTTGGTCCTTCCAGCTCTGGGCTGCCAAAACAGGGTCCTACCCGTTGCGCACTGCCATATGAAATGCACTGCGAAAAAGTGAAAATGAATCCCCGAAGGCCCTGTCCCTCCTTGAGTTCCCGATGCCTCTGTGCCCCTCAAATAATTCCTGACGCCCTGGTTGGACTCCGGCGGAGCCCCAAGCAACCGACAAAAAAACGAGACCTGGACGTTGCCATCGTTTCCGTCCCCGCATGGCGCTGGCGGGAAGAGGCTGGCAAAACTTGCCCACGCACAACCCCCGGCCGCATTTTTTCTAAGGTCGGCGAACGTCCACAAAGACTGCCAGCTGTGGTCGGCAAACATATTTTTGCCGGCCCGACACCCCGCGCACCAGCGGAACGCCAGAGGTACCGACACCAGCGAATCCAGAGCCGAACTTGACCCAACGGCGCGGTGAGCGACACTCCAATTTGACGATGCTTGCGAGAATCATACGGCGTCATCTGCCCCGGCATTTGCACCCTTGTCCCCTGCCCTCGACGTTCTGATCGCCCTCATTCCTGTCCGCCCTCCCCCCCCCACATGTCTTGCAGACCTGCGGCGGGCTTGACCAGTCCACGATCAGCCGACGCCCGACTACAGAGAAAAACGCAAGGCAAAAGGAGCCCTCCCCCTCCTGTTTCCCTTCCCCCCTCCCCCTCTCCCCCCTCCTTATCCTCCTCTCTGTCCCCCTTCCTGGCCGCTTCGCGCATCTCGCCACTCCCTCCAATTACTCCTCCCTCATCCCGTTGCTCAGTTGTCCTCTCTCTCTCTCTGTGTCTCTCTCTCTCTCTCTCTATATATATATACGTGCAAATCACGCAGCTTGGAAACGGCTGGGCCTCGTTGCACCAACCAAAGTCTAGCGACGATTCGGTGTCCATCCTGTGGCTGCTTGCATGATGTCTATAATAACAACGTGCCACCACCTTTAGCTGGATCGGACCCGACCCAAGTCATTCCTCGAAGATTGATTGCGTTCGTTGCTCTCGTCTACTCTTAACTCAGGGGCTGCCTTCTTTCTCTTAATTCAAGGGATGCCAAACGATAATGTGCGACATGGCGATTGTTTTCGGGCAGGTAGGTGGAACTCATATTCGAATTACAAAGGCCCCCACGTGGCCGCACCTGGGACAACGCGTCCCTACTCCTCACCACCCGGCCCCATCCCATGCGCCCCCGGGGGGGTGGGGGGCAGGCAGTGTATAGGCTGTGCCCCTTCCTTCCGCCGCTTTCCTTGCCCCTCCTCCCTTCTTTTCCTCTCCTCCCTTTGCCCCTCCTCCCCTCCTCCCTTCCTTTCCTCTCCTCCCTTGGGCTTCACACTCATGACGTGGCCCCCCCGCCCTTCTTGGGGGCAGGTCTGTGCGGTCTGGGCTTCATCGGCATGTGTGGGCCTGGAGGGGTGGTGGCGGGAGGGGATACGGTTAACCCGTGCCCCCCCCCTGGGAGGCGCCCCCTCTCGGGCCGTTGGTGGGGTTAGGCTCGCTGTGCCTTTGGGGTTGGGCCTTAGTCTTGCTGGGCACATTTCCGGACTTCGCGCGGCGATCGGGCGCGGGAAGGCACAGCCCTCCTCGTCCAACACCCTCTCAGGGGCGGTGGGGTCCTCGGGCCTTGCCCCTGGGAGGGGACGGAGAGGCAGGACGGCGGCGCCGTGGTTAAGGCGCACCGCCACCCGGGTGGGCACATGTCGATCGGCGGTGGCTCTGGCCATGGTCGGGTTGGGCGTGCGTCCCCTGGGTGTCCGTGTCGCTCGGCGGTGGTTGCGGCCATGGTCGGGCGAGGTGGGCACCCCAAAACGACCCTTCGACACCAGAAGGTGGCCATCAGTGCCAACCTCTGCATGTGTTCGTGAGGAGGCGCGGGAAGGAAAGCATGCAGGGCGAGGAGCTCCGGCTGTTCCCTGGTCGACAAGCACATGGCTTGGCTGCGCTGTCGGTGTCTGTGTCTCCACACTGCGCTCTGCCTGCGGCGGGTTCGCTCAACCGTTCGGGGGCGGCACCAAGGGGGGGCTTGCCCTTCCCATCTGCCAGGCCACCGGTTTCTACCGAATGGCCAGCCGCCCACGAGCCCCTCGCAGCCGGGGCCGTGCTTGCAGGCTTGGGGCTCGTGGTTATTGGGTCCCTCGCCCTGCGTGTGCGTGTGTGTGTGCACCAGGCGATGTCAGACATTGTTTTGTGATGTCTTGGTCATCTGCCTTTGTGGCGCCAAAGGGGTCGGCATGTGTGAATGCATGATGTAGACGCATTGCGCCACCGCTGGTGCGGCCACCTTCTCTTGGAGCCACTTTGTTTTGGGGGTCCTGTGTACTTCCATGGTGTCGTTGCAAGGAGGTGCTAACGGCGGGGCAAGAGCGGCAAGGGGCCCCGGGTCTCTCCACCTTTGCTTTCCGCGCCCCTCCTCGGGCATCCATGGGTGTCATAACGGCAGCATCACCTACTGGCCCGCTGGTCATCCGCGGCCAACACACGGCGGATGACATGGCATGGCGTGGCGTGGTAGAAGTACATGTCTGGGTGGTGATGCGTACATAAAAGAGAGAGAGACAGAGAGAGAGGGAAAGAGAGAGAGAGAGAGGGAGAGAACGAGAGAGAAAGACGGGCGCATCTTTTCCCGCTAGACGCGGACGGGTCCAGTCCTTGACAAGGCACTTGAGCCAAACGCGCGCAATGTCGCGCGAACGATGATCAAGAAAGAGGCGGCGGGAGCGATAGTAACGACTGATGATGATCAACGAAGCAATTTTGGCAAAGACTTTCAATTATTGTAGAGACCTGCGAAGATAGAACTTGGAGGGAGGGCGTATTGCCATACCGTTGACGCGTCTTGGGTTTACACTTGTCCTCCTCCTCATTATCCTTTCGCCACTGCGGCGGCCGCAGCGGTGACCAAAGGCGGCCACCGCTACCAGCGAGTGGATCCTCCAATAGAACCAGAGTCCACCAGCGAATGCAGCCAACACATGGCCGACAGATGCTGGTCGACAGCAGAAGCCCCTTTTGCCGAAGGCCCCGCGCCCCATGGAGAGACCTGAACGAACCAGACTCCGGCAGAGGCAGCCCAAACACGAAGAGCACGAGGCACTCCTCCCGAACTAAGGACCGTTGGTGCTGTTCACTCTTATGCCAAGCGCCAGGCGCCCACTCCACCTTCCCCTGTCTGTTGTATGGCATGGCCCCTGGCCGCGGCCATCTCGACCTCTTCCCCGGGGGCTGTTTCCTCCTCCCCCCCCTGGCCTGTTGCGATGCAGCCCCGAGACAGGGAGCGGAGAGCCCCGAAAACCGCTTTTTCCAGGGAAGGGGGGGGGGAAGCGGCCGAACCAGTTTTGTCTTGCGACGCCAGGATCCGATGCCCCAGTGCCTGTGCCAGGTCCTCGGGCGGCGACGGCGGGCACGCGTGGAGTGCATCGGGATTGAGAAGAAAACTACCATGCCAACTGCCTTTCGCGACGCCAAGGTCCAGGGGTTTGGATTCGGGAGCGGCCAAGAGGGGGGTGTCCAAGAGGGGGGGGTGCAAATCATGGCCGGCGGCATGTGCGCGGCCCAGCGGGGGGAGCGGGGACGTAATGAAATGAGAAGCGGCGCCATGAGATCTGGGGAAAAATCATGGCCCGCGCCATGATATCCCCCCCCCCTAGTCATCACCCCCCTCTTTTCCGCCCCCGATGGATCGGGGGCGCGCTAACCTGGGTCAGCGCTAGCCCGGGTCAGCCAAGCCGCGAACCACGGCCAGCCGGACAGAGGATCCCAAGCCTGGGTCGGTGGAGGGAGGGGAAGGGGGCTCGACCGCCTGTGAGATCGAACTTCGGGGACCCCAGCAGGGGGGGGATATGCATATAGTTGGCACCATCAGGGCCCGAGTGTGTGCATGTCCACCGACTGCCTCTACGCTCCTGATGGTCGCTCCCACATGAGGTGGTTATTCAAAAATCTCCGTCCCCAGGGGGGTGGCTCCGAATGAGCTGCGACGATAAAAGGATCTCACGCGAAATGACGTAGCAATCTTACGCGGTGGCTTCAACGGGAACGAGGGCGCTTGCGCGCGGCAGCTGACGCGCCAATGTCGGTGAAGACGACCCCCTTATTGTTCCGTTGCTCACGTGGCTCCCAAGCCTTGATTAGGCATAAAAGGGCCCCTAACCCTTTGGGAGGCGACCTCAAACATTAGGGGAAGAGTTTTACTCTATAGATGCATCAAACCAAACCGCCCAAATGTACGATCTCTAATGCACAAGCGGGGACCTCAGTGAAACCACGTCTTCGTTATGTTCATAGGATAGGGAGTTCAGATGTTTCCGATCGGCCAGAAGGGATCGGCAGACACCCGTCAGCATTGATCCCCGCAACGTGCGCCCCACCAGGTGCCCGGCCAGCTTCTCTGGCGGCGGGAAGCGCCCGCGCAAATGCGTGGACACGGCCAGTGACGCCGCCGCTCCCCCCCCCCCCCCAGGCGCGGCCGCTGGACTTGGCACCCCAGGCGAAGACCCGGCCGCAGCCAGTGCGCGCCAGGGAGAACTTGTCGCCAGCGGCGAGCTGCTCCACGTCCTCGACCCACGGATGGGCAACCAACAACGGCATGCGCATATTCCTCTTCATATATTTTCATAAGCCCGGGCGGGGGGAAAACCCATCACCCCCCCCCAAAAAAAAGCGGACTCCCTGGATCTGGGGCTTTGGGACCCTCCAGACGGGCCTCGAAGCGGTCCCCGGGCCTCACATGGCGCTTTGCCAAGCCTTCCCAGAACACCTAGGGCGATCAGGGGGGTCATCAGAGACGTCCCAGAGACCCCCAAGACAGCACAATAGCGCTCCAAGAGTGACCGACGTGACCTCAAGATGGCCCAAGAGGCCTCCAGGACGGCCCCAAAGAGGCCTCCAAGAGCACTCCCAAGAAGGCCCCCCCAGGCAAAAATGATTGATTTTCTATTGGTTTTTGGTGAATTTTAGGGTTCTCCTCTTTTCGGCTTCCCGACGCTCCAAGACGGCGGTCTTCTGGGCGTCCGAAGCCGCCTGGGAGGCTCCACAATCGCCCCACAACCATCCGAAAGGGCTTCCAGGCAGTCCAAGAGAGCCCCAAAACTGCACAACACGGGTCCAAGATGGCCCTCAGAGAGCCCCATGGCGGCCCAAGATGGCCCAAAGACACCCTCCGAAGAACTCCAAATTGTGATTCGGTCGTTCAGGGAGACGGCGGTTGGAGGCAGGGTGGCCCGAGGCAGCCGCCGGAGGCCCCCAGAATACGCCCAGGAGGTCTCCAGAAGGCCTTAAGAAAGCCTGAAACAACTTTTGTGAGGCCCCTAGAGGCTCTGCAAGGAGGAGCCTCCGCAAGAAAGAGCTGAGGAGGATGGGGAGAATGCGCAGGGCATGGCGAAAATAAGGAAAAAGAAACATGGAGGAAGGATAACGAACAACATTATTATAGCGGCGATGCCAGAACAGGCAACCAGGAATTATCGCTAAATTGTCGGCTTGACCTTCCTGCTATTCCGCCTGCATACCAAACTTCAAGGACCAAGGTGCATGGCGCGAAGCGCCACTGCAATTTTGTGTATATATTCCTCTCCCTTTATTTTTGTAAGCCCGGGCGGGGGGGAAACCCGTCACCCCCCCCCAAAAACCGGACTCCCGGGACCTGGGGATTTGGGGCCCTCTGGACGGGCCTCGAAGCAGCCACCGGGCCTCGCAAGGCGTTTTGCCAAGCCTTCCCAGCACACTTCGGGCGATCAGGAGAGTCATCGGAGACGTCCCAGAGACCCCCAAGACAGCACAAGAGCGCTCCAAGAGTGACCGACGTGACCCCAAGATGGCCCAAGAGGCCTCCAGGACGGCCCCAAAGAGGCCTCCAAGAGCACTCCCAAGAAGGCCCCCCGAGGCAAAAATCATTGATTTTCCGTAGGGTTTTTGGTGAATTTTGGGGTTCTCCTCTTTTCGGCTTCCCGACGCTCCAAGACGGCGGTCTTCTGGGCGTCCGAAGCCGCCTGGGAGGCTCCACAATCGCCCCACAACCATCCGAAAGGGCTTCCAGGCAGTCCAAGAGAGCCCCAAAACTGCACAACACGGGTCCAAGATGGCCCTCAGAGAGCCCCATGGCGGCCCAAGATGGCCCAAAGACACCCTCCGAAGAATTCCAAATTGTGATTCGGTCGTTCAGGGAGACGGCGGTTGGAGGCAGGGTGGCGCGAGGAAGCCCCCGGAGGCCCCCAGAATACACCCAGGAGGCCTCCAGAAGGCCTTAAGAAAGCCTGAAACAACTTTTGTGAGGCCCCTAGAGGCTCTCCAAGGAGGAGCCTCCGCAAAAAAGAGCTGAGGAGGATGGGGAGAATGCGCAGGGTATGGCGAAAATAAGGAACAATAAGCATGGAGGAAGGATAACGAATAACATCATGATAGCGGCGATGCCGGAGAAGGCAACCAGGAGTGATCGCTAAATTGTCGGCTGGACCTTCCTGCCATTCCGCCTGCATGCCAAACTTCAAGGACCAAGGTGCATGGCGCGAAGCGCCACTGCAGTCTTGTATATGTATATATATATATATATATATATGTATATATATATATATATGTATATATATATATATATAATTTCGATGCTCCTACTGGATTTCTCGGGTCGGCACGGGGCAGGAAGGAGGGAAAGAGAAGGGAAAGGAAAGAGGAGCGCGCGCCACTGGTTCGTCCCGAGGATGAAAGGGAAAAGGGGCATCCCGTCCATCCCAACCTTAGTGGGCCTTGGAAACGACAGGGACATTGTATTACCGTTTTCGTTTTGCTGTTTTTTTGTCGTTTCCGGCGCCGTTTTTTTGTCGTTTTCGTCGCCGTTTTTTTGTCGTTTCCGATTGTTTTTTTTGTACCGTTTCCGACTCCCGTGGTGGGCCCCTCTGCCAGATCACAACTTTTCTACCGGTTCCGAACCGCTTCCGAGCGTCGCCCTGATCTGCCCTCTCCAAAAGCAATTTTCCGATGCCGTTTTTGGGCCGTTTTCGTTGCCGTTTTTTCCCGGAAAGGGCTTAAGCCCAGGGTTCTCTTTTAGTAGGTAAACCTAGTCCCCCGGTGCCTGCTTGAAGGAGGCCGGCGAATTTTCCCCGGAAAGGGCAGAGGCCCAGGGTTCTCTTTTAGTATGTAAACATGTCCCCCGGTGCCTGCTTGAAGGAGGCCGGCGAATTTTTTCCCTGATAAATAACGAGGTCGAAGGAGGCCGGCGAATTTTTCCCTGATAAATAACGAGCCCGCGAATTAAAATTTGAGGATGTCTCGAGCGAAACGCTTGTTTTTGAGCGCCCGCGAATTAAAATTTGAGGATGTCTCGAGCGAAACGCTTGTTTTTCAGAATTTGTCGAGGATGTCTCGAGCGAAACGCTTGTTTTGTGTTATAGATTGTCCTCTCCTGGGGACCTGAATTCTGAGGACCACCTCCCAGCACGACCACCCCCCCAGCACGCACGACCACCCCCCAGCACGACCACACCCCAGCACGACCACTCCCCAGCACGACCACACCCCAGCACGACCCCACCCCAGCACGACCCCACCCTAGCACGACCACACCCCAGCACGATCACACCCCAGAACCCACACAGCACGACCCCCCCAGCACGACCCCACCCCAGCACGACCACACCCCAGCACGACCACACCCCAGCACGACGACCCCACCCCATCACCCCCACCCCAGCAAGACACACCCCGCACGACCACACCCCAGCACGACCACCACAGCACGACCACACCCCAGCACGCCCCCAGCACGACACGCCCCATCACGAACCACTCCCATTCCTACACCTCCCATCAAACACCACGCCCCCCTAGCACGACCTACGCCCCCCTCAGCACGACCCACCGCCCCACACGACACACCCCAGCACGACAACTCCCCAGCACGACCACACCCCAGCACGACCCCACCCCAGCACGACCCCACCCTAGCACGACCACACCCCAGCACGATCACACCCCAGAACGACCACACCCCAGCACGACCCCACCCCAGCACGACCCCACCCCAGCACGACCACACCCCAGCACGACCACACCCCAGCACGACCCGACCCCAGCACGACCCTACCCCAGCAAGACCACACCCCAGCACGACCACACCCCAGCACGACCTCACCACAGCACGACCACACTCCAGCACGACCACGCCCCAGCACGACCACGCCCCAGCACGACCACGCCCCAGCACAACCACCCCCCAGCACGACCACCCCCCCAGCACGACCACGCCCCAGCACGACCACCCCCCAGCACGACCACTCCCCAGCACGACCACTCCCCATCACGACCACACCATTCGCACCCCCTGGAATGTTTCGTGGGGTGTTCGTGGAATGGTTTCGTGGGGTGTCGTCGTGGAATGTTTCGTGGGGTGTCTCGTGGAATGTTTCGCGTGGTGTCTCGTGAAATGTTTCGTGAGGTGTCTCGTGGAATGTTTCGTGAGGTGTCTCGTGGGCTGTTTCGTGAGGTGTCTCGTGGGATGTTTCGTGAGGTGTTGCCCAGTTGGGTATCATGAAAACGTGTCCATGCTCCACATGTCTATATCCCTTTCCGGGTTCGTGGGCCATCATGTTTCCTGATAACTAACGATGGTCAAGGAGGCCGGCGAATTTTTCCTCTGATAAATAACGAGCCGCGAGTTAACATTTGAGGATGTCTCAGCGAACGCTTGTTTTTGGCGCCGGCGAATTAAATTTTGAGGATGTCTCGAGCGAAACGCTTGTTTTTGAGGCCGGCGAATTAAAATTTGAGGATGTCTCGAGCGAAACGCTTGTTTTTGAAATCCCGACCTCACCACACCCCAGCACGACACACCCCAGCACGACCTCACCACAGCACGACCACACCCCAGCACGACCACGCCCCAGCACGACCACGCCCCAGCACTACAGGCCCAGGCACGACCCTAACCCCAGCACGACCACACCCCAGCACGACCACACCCCACACGACCTCACCACAGCACGACCACACCCCAGCACGACCACGCCCCGCAAGATACCACCCCCCAGCACGACCACCCCCCCGCACGACCACACCCCAGCACGACCACACCCCAGCACGACCACACCCCAGCACGACCACACCCTAGCAAGACCACACCCCAGCACGACCACACCCCAGCACGACCTCACCACAGCACGACCACACCCCAGCACGACCACGCCCCAGCACGACCACGCCACAGCACGACCACGCCCCAGCACGACCACCCCCCAGCACGACCACCCCCCCAGCACGACCACCCCCCAGCACGACCACCCCCCAGCACGACCACACCCCAGCACGACCACTCCCAGCACGACCACACCGCCTTGGTTGAGTGGTTGCCTGTCGTCGTGGAATGTTTCGTGGGGTGTCTCGTGGAATGTTTCGCGGGGTGTCTCCTGGAATGTTTCGTGAGGTGTCTCGCGGAATGTTTCGTGAGGTGTCTCGTGGGATGTTTCGTGAGGTGTCTCGTGGGATGTTTCGTGAGGAGTTGCCCCGTTGGGTCTCGTGAAAACGTGCCCATGCTCCACATGTCTATATCCCTTTCCGGGTTCGTGGGT